TTCCAGTATTCCAGATGAGGTTTCACCAGTGCTTTGTATAATGCTATTAACACTTCCTTGTCTCTACTAGAAATAAGTCGCCTGATGCATTCTAGGACTGTATTAACCTTTTTCACACCCGCATCATGTTGGCGGCTCATAGAAATCCTGTAATCAACCAATACACCCAGGTCTTTCTCCTCCTCTGTCACTTCCAATTGATAAGTCCCCAGCTTATAGCAAAAATTCATGTTAGTCCCTAAGTGCATAGCTTTGCACTTTGCACTATTAAATTTCACCTATTTTTATTACTCCGATTTTGAAGGTCATCCAGATCTTCTTATATGATATTCTGGTCCTACTCCATATTGGCAATACCTCCTAAGTTTGTGACATCTGCAATTTTTATTAACACATTCCCCCTTTTTGCGCCAAGGTCATTAATAAAAATGTTAAATAAGATAGGACCCAAGACTGATCCCTCTGGAACCCACTAGTAACCTCCTTCCAGCCTGACTGAAAGGTTCACCTTTCAGTCTGATCTGTTGTAGTCTCCCCTTTTACCAGTTCCTTATCCAACTTTTATTTCTCATATTAATTCCCATCTTCTCCAATTTCCCATGTGGAACTATATCAAATGCCTTATTGACATCCAGGTAGATTAGATCTACTGCATTTCCTTTGTCTAAAAAATCAGTTATCTTCTCAAAGAAGATCAGGATGGTCTGGCATGATCTACCTTTTGTAAAACTATGTTGTGTTTTATCCCAATTACCATTTACCTCTATGTCCTTAACTATGTTCTCTTTCAAAATTTGTTCTGATACCTTGCATACAATTGAGGCCTATAGTTTCCCAGATCACATTTTCCCCCTTTCTTAAACATAGGTACTATATTAGCAATTCTCCAGTCATAGGGAACAACCCCGAAGTTTACAGATTCAGTAAAAATCCTTGCTACTGGGCTTGCAATTTCATATGCCAATTTCTGTAATATTCTTGGATGGAGATTATCGAGACCTCCCCAATTTAGTGCCATAAAAGACTAAATAACCTAACTAAAATTTGTGAGTGGACAAGCCATGATCTGACAAATAGTAGTGGATATTTTCCTTCAATCACATAAAAGGTATTGTCCATCTAGTTGAAATTTCACCTGGAGTATCCCTTTTGGGACTAATTTGTCTCCAGTATAAATCTTCAAAACCATACAGGTTTCTTCCAGAGCAACTTGTAACAAAGTCTGGTGATAGATGCAGAAATCAATGAAATGGCAGCTCCAGTATCAAGCTCCATTCTTGTAGAAAGTCTTCAATCAAGGGTGTGACCCAGATGCCATTTCTGACTCCAGCTTGTGATAATGTAGTGCTAAGTCTTGGCCAGTGTCACTAGAGCTCTTGTCTTTCTCCACATTATTATTCCTGACTTCTTGTATGGACAATTAACCTGTGCTGGAGGTCGTTGAACTGTGACAGATCACAGCAATGTGTCCTTTCTTCTGATACTTCCTACAAATGACCTGGTGTGTCCAGCAAGTCTTCTCAGCATGCATAGTTTGTGCACAGTGGCCACACAGAAATTCCTTACATTCTCATGGTTTTCTGTCTCATCAGTTCACGAGATGAACTTGTCAGTTCATGCTAAAGTCCACAGAATCCTGGAAGTCCAGCCACTTCAACAGCCTTCTTGAATGTAAGCACTAATGCAGTAAATAATTTTTTCAGGACCTGCTCATTGCATAATCCAGAGACTAACTGGTCATGGCGGGGATCACTTAATATTGTCTGAACTGACAGCTTCCTTAGAGCAGCAGTGAACTGTGCTACCGACTCTCCACTTCCCTGATGTCGCTGATTAAACTGATATAATTCTGCTACCATCGATGGGTAGGAGAAAAATGTTCCTGTATTGTTGCATGAATTGCAGCGTACGTGGCAGTTCCGGGCACAGTTGGAGACAATAGGTCATGCAGCAGTCCGTATGCCTTCAGACCCATCACTGTCAACAAGGGTCTAACTCGTTATCTGACTGGAATAGAGTTGCACGTTACAAATTACTCAAAATGTTTGAGGTACACCACCAATGAGTTGCAGTTGTTGTCAAAAGAAGTCTGTTCTTCTTTTTGCGGATACAGACTAACACGGCTGCTACTCTGAAACCAGTTGTTGTCAAATTCACCAACACTGCCCACACAAATTGTCATTCCTCCGTTCTCCTGTTGGACTTCAAACCTCCTGGACATCTTCTCTGCCACAAGGAAATTCTTTTTTTGTTACTGTGCGTCTACACTCAATCTGCCTCTTTTGGCTGCATGCCAACACTGCAGACTGTAGAATTCTCCCTTTGGCTGTATTTGGGCTCCCTCTACTGTCTGTAGACCCTCTGGCCAGGCTAAGCTGCTGCTCAGGCCACCTGCTTGCACATGGTTGCTTACTTCCCCCTCACTGTCAACATGGTTGCTTACTTCCCCCTCACTGCTTTTTTTTCAGTAGCTCTGAGCAGCAGCCTATTCTTCGTTCAGTTTTTAGTTGCCAATTCCCCCTCTCTAGCTGAGTGGTTCACACTCTCCCAGTAGCAAAAGCAGCAGTCTGTCACCTTGTGCCTCTGGGTGAACTTCCCCCTTTTTTACAGTATTATTTCCTTCCTTTTTCTTCTTTTCATTCAGGCCGTAGGAGCACTGGACATGCAAGGATAGAAATCCTTCATTGCCAAATGTTGTATCTGGACCCAGCAGAGAATGAAATACAGACACAGAGAAGCTCACTTAAGCACATATAGCTGCCGTGGAAACCTTTATTATTCTTGCAGCAAAACTGAAACCAACCCGAAAGTGAGGCTTTGCACTGGGTCAGGGGAGAGTGCTCAAACATTTAAAGGGACGGGGCATCAGTTTTCTTTCATTCTGTAGGAAGGAGAAAGCACTAGACTTCTTACAAATTCCCTCTCCTACTAATGTAATGCAGTAGCTACCTTCCTTACATGCAGAATCAAAAGCACCTGTTAATGCAATGCAGTCTGCAAATTCTTCTCCTCCTCCTTTGAAACAGAGAGCTGCTCCTTTTGTGAGCCATCCAGTTTTCTCTAACCTGTGCAGAAATCTGTCTTGTGTGGCAGTAAACTGCCGTATTAGCTTGAGACCTTAGCCTGTCTTCAGAACGGTGTGCAACAGCTCCCAGTGCTGCCTACCAACACAGCTTTATATTTCATTTTTTAATAGATTCCAAGAGCCTGGAACTTCGATCTGTTGCAAAACCAAACTCAAAAGTGGCTTCTGTGCAGCCTTTGATTAATTCTCAAGTCACATGTGGATAGGTGACCAGATAGCAAGTGTGAAAAATCAGTACAGGGGGTCGGGGGTAATAGGAGCCCATATTAAAAAAAGCCCCAAATATTGGGACTGTCCCTATTAAATTGGGACATCTGGTCACCCTACATATGGACAGTTTTCTATCATCTCCATTGCAGGCTGAGTTTGGGAGGTAATGGAAGGGCCTAGCAAAGAGCGTGTGCTATCATTGTATTACAGTTAAACATTAGATGGGCTCTTCAGTTTCACCACAGAAGCTCAATGGCTGGGGAAAGAATCTTAGTTTCTGTATAAGCTTTAGAGATAGGGTGGAAATCAGTTTTGACAACCTGCACCAGTAAAGGGTCATTTGAATACTGACAATTCCAATTCCCCGTGTAGCTACTAGCCTGTTCCACAAAGTTTTGGCTTTTCTTTGTTACCGTGTTAATGTTCCTCCACAGCTGTCTGATGGCCAGAGCCTTCTGTTGCCTCCTCTAATTCTAGCAGAACTTGGTAAAGATCCACAAAAACCCACTGTATGTTTCTATGGACATGTGGATGTACAACCTGCCAAAAAAGAAGATGGATGGAAAACTGACCCCTACACACTGACTGAAATTGATGGTCTGTACATGGTCATTATTCTGGCACAAGTATTTGTATGCATGACACTAACTTAGGGAGTGGGAGGAGGTTCCCTCTAAACTCAGGCCTGGTGTAAGAAGGTGCTACTTGTGTGGAAATCTCTGGGACAAATTCAGGGGAAACGGGCCTTCAGGAGCCATGCTGTCATTAGTTGAATCCTGCTTGTGACTCCACAGAATCAGCTGGGAAAGAGCCAGCAGGAGTTAATCAGGGTTGGTTGTAGGAGCAGGCAAGCAGGGCAGTCGCCCTGGTTGCAAACTTCCAGTGGGCACTGTACTGCTGTGCTGCTTGTGGGTTTTCAGTTTTGGGGGGTGTTTTGTTTTTGCTCTGCTTTGATTGGCTGGCTGGTTTTGTTTTTGTTTTGGCTCTGCTGATTTGTTGGCTGCGGGCTGCACGTGATGGGGTTTTGTTGGTTTTTTATTTGTTTGGTGGGTTTGCTTAGACACTGGTGGGCTGAAAACATTTTCTGCCTTAGTCAACAAAACAGAACAGGGCATGTTTTTGCTCTGAAATCCTCTGGGTCAGAAGAGGATGATGCAGAATGAACAGCGCCTCCTCCCATTCTGCTGTCTACCCAGTTCTATGATACTGCAGCTCCACAGAGCTCTGCCAAAAGGACCTCCCACAGGGTCCAAAAGTCATGGGCGGCTGTGAGCCCCCCCATTTGGGGAGGCTAGCCATGCGGCCCCACCCCTTCTGTCCGAAGCCCTGCCTCCACCCCACCCCCATCCGCCAGAGCCCCGAGCCGCCCCGCCATCCCCTCCCCAGTCGGAGGAGCCGCAGCCGAACCGCCGCGGGCCTCCGACCCCAGCTCTGGGCCACCAGCTGGTCCCAGCTGCCTGCTGCCTCTAGCCAGAGCTGAGCTCCCGCAGGCTTGGCAGAGCGCGTGTGGGGCCAGGGCTTGGTTTACGGGAGGCTTAGCCCCTCCTGGCCTATTATACCCACCACCCATGCCAACAGTGATGCATGGAACTCAGTCATATTCCCTCCCTTAATTTCAAGCTCCCACGAGAAATCAGATGGATCTAAGGCAATGTAGAAGAGAAAACTGTGGAGCCAAGGTCACAATGAGTCAGTAGAAGAGTAAAGTAGAGAACTCAGAAATCCCAACTCCCACTCCTGTGCTCTAACCACTAGACCACTCCTTCCCACTCTTTGGGACCGATTCCTGTCAAACTTACCAGTGTGGCTCCATTGACTTCAATGGCAGTTACTCTGGATTTACACCAATGTGAATGATAGCAGAATCTGGACCTTTATAAACGTATACAAATTTATCAGTCTGAAAAGTTTTGTAGTAATACCATGGCCGGTATCCCTGGATGCATTTACAGGACTTCTAGGTAGTATGCAATTCCTACACACATCACTGCTGAGTGATACCATCCCTACAGTTCTTTTTATGGGCTTCATCTGCATAGCAACTGCATGTTGCGCCAAACTGTATTGAAATGTTGTGGTCTGGACATACTTCTGTTAAGAACTAGAATAAAACCAGCAAGCAGACTTGTGCCACAAATCAACATTTGAACTTGGAGTCTCAGAGGTCTAGTGCACTAACCCTATTGGGAAACATCTAACACCTTTACTTAAAACTATTCTGTGAACTCCTGGTTCCATTAACTTCAATGGGAGTTTTGCCATTGACATCAGTAGAGCCAGGATTTCACCCATTTATATCTGAAGCAGCATCAAAGTCTCCAAAGTTTGATATAAGCTTTTTATTTTATTTTTTTTAAGGTAAATCTTTATGGGCGTGGAGCAACAGATAACAAAGGACCTGTCTTGGCCTGGATAAATGCAGTGGAATCATTCAGAGCACTAAAATTAGTAGGTAGCAAAGAGAAACATTTGTATTCCAGTGGCACTGCAGGAGTGAATTTCAGAAGTAACCTCATCCCCACAAATTGGTTTCATATATTTGCAAACATTAGTATATTTTTAATGCTGTTTCCAAGCCCGCCCCAAGATCATTTTGTGCTTGGGTATTTTATGTATTGACCAGGCTCAATGTAATGCAGAGGGTGCTATCTCCTTGTCCTGTCTTATAGAAGGTACTGAGGAAAAAGGCAAGCATTAAACTGATTTGATACCCAGGAAGATCATTTGCTTGAAAGCTTTTTAAAATTGTAAAAGAACTGACTTTAAAGTAAGTATTGGTCATGCTTAGTTTTGCACCTTTCTATTCTGCTCTTGGCTGCAAGTTATCATCAGTATGTGTGTATCCATGGCCAGAATCAGGATAAAAAAGCACCTGGAAAATGCTCATTCAGAACAGTATATTCTTTCAACAGCATATGAGATTCAGCAAAGAAAACAGCTAGTCTGCAAATATATAAATTATATCTTAAGTTATTTGCTGTCCAACTCTGCTGTTGTAAATTGATTTGGTTTATGGCTGTTTTTCTACGATGTGTTAATCTTTCAAATCAGTAATGTCCAGGTTG